ATCATTTTTTTCTGGGAATATGTTTTTAAGGGTCTGTTCTCAAGATGAATACTGATCTACCTCTCTCTAGCTTTTGGGTTTATCCAATCATAAATACAAGTGAGGGAGGTTGGAAGGACAACCTGTGGCCACTTTAAATTTCTAATATGAAGCTAAATGACTCATAACCTGACTTCTTAACAATATGCTCCAAGTATTTCAATCCACATCTGCTGAAAGATAACTACAGCTCCAAGTAATGAGATTAAATACCTGAGGGAAATAATATCCAAAATACAAACTATCTCCCCTTGTTTATCATGGGGATTGTTTAAATTGCTGTTCTGTCATCTGTGAGAAGAAGCAGTATATTGCACGTGCATTTAAAACAACCTCTCTCCCTAGCAATCGATAAACTTAAAGCTGTTTCCTGAAGTAAAGTCATGATGCACCATTTTGCAAGAAGTTTTTGTTCCCGTTACAGCCATAGTCTGGTACAATTGCTGTTGCCACATGTAGTTTCACATTCCAATTGCTTAACTGCTTAATTGGCATGCCCCAAACTTCATGCCAGTTCTGGCAAGATTTCAAGGATGTTAAATTTCCATTTCTGTCCTCTCATCCATGCCCTGGATAAAGCTCCATCCTCAAAATGGGGGATATGATTTGTCACTTAGCAAACTACTTTTCCATCAGTTAGAGAAGTATGTGTTCCAAAAACTATACCCTTCTCAACTAGAAAAGTCAAACTACAAAAGAAATCAAAATACAGCCTGAGGATATTATCAAATTCCTATTAAAAATGAAAGTTTTACAAAATATTATGAGTGACAATTTTACAAAAATTTTACTTAATTAGCTTTCCCCACTTCTAAAATAAATGACTTGCATAATATATCAATTTCTTAAAAAAAAACAAAACTTGAGCAGTCATATTATTAAATTGGTATCACAAAATGGCAAGAATAAGGAGAATGGGTAATTTATTTCATACAACAGAGTAGTCCATACAAGGGACAGCTATGTAACATATCTTTAGAGTTTCTAGATTGTAGTCTGAACTAATTTGGATGGCCTAACGGCAAGTGTGAAAACTAAAAGTGCTAGAACGGAACCTTTCTCAGGAAAACAATTAAGAGAGAAATGGAATCCCAAGCTGAATAATGTCCACTAGCTCTTAGCAAAGTTTAAAGACACAAAGATCATGGGAGGAAGTCAGAAATTGCTCTAACGGAAAGAGATTTTATCATGCACGGGTAGGTAAATGCCCAAAGCCTACGGTATGTGTTGACACAACTCCAAGTAGTTGTGAAACACAACTTACAAATACCACAGCAACAATACTGTGGCCAAATTGTATTGCTAAACCATGTGGGTTACTTCAACATCTACACTGGGTATGAAAACGAGCCTTTTGCATTTGATAAACCCCATTCACCAACTTGAAGGTAGCACTTGCTTTACTATACTGAAATAATACAGGCAAAACTCTTTTTAGAGTGGGCACACATTATACAAATGTCAGATAATATTACTGTTCAGAGAATGATCTGGTCTAGAAAATACAAGTGTATGTTCAGTGAAAAATGAATAGCCCTTTGAGTTCACAAGGCATCTCTTCTTCTGTCTCTCTCATTTTTTAATTGCAATATTAAAATCTTACACTAGGTATTGAAGAGCCTATTTTATTAACTTATTTTGACTCAACATTATTTAGCTACCTATATGCTCTAAGGGAGCTCTGGTAGCATAGTGCCTAAGGCACTTGACTGCTCACCAGAAGGCTGGCGGTTTAAACCCACCAGCCACTCCTCGGAAGGACGGTTGGGCAATCCTACTTCCGTAGTGATACTGCCTCGGAAACCCAAGGAGGGGTCGCTATGAGTCAGGCCGACTCGATGGCAAACAACAACATGCTCTAACACCATGCTTATCTCAGTGCTTAACATTATCTAATTTGAAGATTAAATTGGACGTTTATGTCAACTATATAGAGATTATCAGTATTCCACATTCTTTTTTTTCAATTAGGATTTTTTTTGTGAATATGCACCAGCTATCAGTCTCAGGTTATGTGTGGTTCAACGTGTAGCTTTTTAGAGATTAGCATATTTTGTATATTTATGTATCTTAGAGAGCCCTCTTCATCATGCGTATCAAGGATTTAAAGAAGGAAAATACTTACGAAAGGAATGCGCAAGATGTTAGAGAGGAATTTATCCTAACTAAGCCCTAAGATAAAGATACTACAGAAATAATGTATTAGCAATTACACTAATTAGAAAATTTGAAAAAAGTAAGGCTTATTATATCTACATTAATTTCCTTATTTTAATGATTACACTATTGTGCGGATGAGCCCTGGTGGAGTCAAGGTTAAGCACTCAGCTGCTAACTGAAAGGTCAGCAGTTCTAGTCCCCAGGCCATTCCATGAAAGAAAGATATGGCATTCTGCTTCCATAAACAGTTACAGCCTTAGAAACCCAATGGGCAGTTCTACTCTGTCCTATAGGGTCATTATACATAGGAATGGATTTGATGATTGTGGATTTGTTTGTGTTTTTATTGGTTTGTTTGTTTTTATTTTTGCTGGTATATAACACTATTTTCTTGGTTTTCAGGATACATAGATCAAGATATTTAGAGCCAAAGAGACATCATATCTATAAGTTTCTAGCAAATGCTATAGAAAAAATAAAAATAAAAAACATATATTGGAGAGAAAGAAAGTGACCCCTCATTGGGTTTCCAAGGCACTTTCACTATGGAAGTAGATTGCCCAATCTTTCTTCCAAGGATGGCTGGTGGGTTTGAACCGCCAGCCTTTGGGTTGGCAGTCAAATGCCTTAGGCACTACACCACCAGAGCTCCTAATGATAGAGCAAATGTAGTAAAATGTTAACATTTGAGGACAGAAGAAAAATTATATGGTAATTCTGTGTAATATGTTTCCAACTTTTCTGAAGGTCTGAAATTATTTCAAAAGAAAATGTTTTTCTTCTTTTAATCTTGGCATGCATCTCTCTTGGTCTCATGAAAGGCTACTTTCAGAATTTGTGACAGAGGAAGCTGAAGTCTTTGGTCCATTGCGCCTACCTAATTATAAGCCAGGAACTCTGGTGGCATAGTCCCAAAGGCATTTGACTGCTAACCAGAAGGCTGGTGGTTCAAACCCACCAGTGACTCTTCAGAAGGAAGACTGAGCAATCTACTTCAACAGAGATACCGCCTCCAAAACCCAAGAAGGGGTCTCTGTGAGTCGGAACCAACTCAACGGCAGTGAGTATGGTTTAATTTTAAGCCAGAACTATCATAATGCAACAATGATACCAAAAGATACTACTAACATTCCCATGGAGCGAGATCATTATCCCCATTTTCTACTTAGGCAAAGAGTGTAATGTCAGGTGATCTTCTTGAAAGTAAGTGATAAAAACCAAGACATGAACTCATACCTTCTGTTTCCAAAGTCTGTGTATATTTTTTAAGCTAGTAACCAAAAAGACAGTGACAAAATTGATGTTTTTAACAGTTCACACTTCAGAATTAAATCATTAATGTTC